AACACATTAATTAACTGAAAAATGTTGCATACTATGCCTTTATGTTACAAACTAAATAGCCATGCTACATTGAGGAGCAGCATAACTTCTACACATTGTCTCTAGATGAGGAAGGGGTTTGAAGGCACTCCCTGCAATAAATGCTGCATTGTACTAAAAGAGCTTTATAACAATTGCGTCCATTTTATTGGAAATAAATTGGTAAAGAGTCTGACAGTGTATCAGAGCAACACACCCTGCCCTCTAGGGGTGCTCTGGCGGGGTGGGTCTTTGGCTCTTCACAACCACTATTGAGCATTTTCCCTTTGGATAAACTTTACATGCACAAGTGCACTCATACAAACAACTACAGGTGCCTGGTTCCAGGTACTTAGAGAGTCACTTCCATATCTTCAGCTACCGCGGACTACATGTCAGATTAAATAATACTTCTTCAACTTCAGCGATAGTATCGAGGTGCTACTTTATTGTATCTCTTATACTATATCCGTTGGTTGTGTTGTTCTTTTTACATCTCTCTTTGCAGGAGATGAAGCAGAGTTAAGACGTTTTATCATTGTCTCCCTTTTATCTCTGCTTTCTTTCATATTTTCTCCTTTTTTCAGTTTTTCCTTTCCTGTTCTACTTACATTGCAATATCGTTATAATCTTTAAAACTCCATGCACAATCATAATAAGGCTATTTATATGCATAAATCAAGCGGAACACTATGGCGATAGCCGTACTGCTCCACTAGTGAGAGCAAAATCTGTTAGGCTCTTTTTTGGCATCAAGACAATTATTCTTATTGCCACATCGCCAGACAGGACACTGTAAAAAAAAAAAAAAAGACTGAGACATGTTTCTTGGCTGTGCAGAGGAAGTACTCTAGATCTAAACCTTGAATTATTTACCGGGCAGGAATTTTGACTGGCTGATGAGAGTTACGGTCATGACTGTGGTCCCCTGGTTTAAATAGCAGCCCCCACGGCCAATTTTCCTCAGATGACCAACTTGTTGACTATCCACAGATGAATTAAAAGGGAAATGAAACACTTCGAGAGTCCTGGCCTGGACTGAGGGTGGTAAGAACATGCAGTGACAGGTTCTATTGACAAAACCTGATACAGCAACCAATTAAAGTTGATCCCAAGATCAAAGTAAGTCGTTTCTCTCTAGTA